TTTATTTTGACATCCCATGAGAAATGACCTATACTATAGTAAGACTTTTATTTTGACATCCCATGAATAACGAGACACATACGATAGTAAGACTTTTATTCTGACATCCCATGACAAACGAGACACATACAATAGTAAGACGTTTATTTTGACATCCCATAAGAAATGACACGTACTATAGTACAACTTTCATTTGAGGTTCTTCCTTGTAGATATCCTAATTGTTTTTCCTTTTTTTTTTTTGAAAAAATAATTATGTAATGTTACCAAATGTTTGAATAGTTCAAATTAAAATGTGTAATTTAAATAAAAAAAAGATGTTTTTTGTGGGGTTTTGAACCTAACCGTTAGAAGCAACATAAATCTTTGCAGTAACTCCAGTCTGCAGCTCGTCTGTTTTTTATCTGGATGTTTGAAACTTGCTGTCTGTGTGTCCTCAGCTCACGTTCACAGAAGCCATGAGGAACAAGGCCCGTCTGTCCATCACCGGCAGCGTTGGGGAGAACGGCCGAGTGCTGACGCCCGACTGCCCCAAGGCTGTCCACACCGGGCCCCCCATCCGCCAGAGCTCCGGCCTGGCCCTGGTCTCCTCTGAGCTTCCATGAAAACCAAAAACCTCTCAAGTGCCTTAACGCAACAGCAAACAAACAAACAATAAACAACAACAACCAGGACGAAAACAGGACTCACTCGCAGCAGACGGGGATCTCCTCCTGTGACAGAACCTGAGGAGGCGGAACAATAACGAGTTTTTCTTTTTTTTTTTATTTTACAGAAGACTCACTGGAGTGATCAAACCTTCAACTCATGACAAAAAAAAAAGGAAAATATCACAAGATGTGACAAAAGATGAGAAATCTGTCAACTTGAAACTCAAACTGCACATCGGACTGAGAAAACAAACAAATAAAGAAGCAGCGACTTCGCGAGGTTCTGATGAGGATAACGATGAGAAACATTTGTATTTATAAAAAAAAAAAATGCTGAATATATGAGCAAAACAGAATACTGTGAAAAATGAGTAAATATGTATATTCTGAGACAAAAACTACTAGCTGTACATAACCATGCTTGCTTTTTAAAACAGATGTACATAGCAGATATTGTAGTGAACAAAATGTTCATTTTTTGTAAAAATTAAAACATCTTTTAAGATTTTATTCATCGCAATAATGAGAGAAGTTTAAATTCACCTGTATTATAGAGAAGCTCTAAATGTGAAGGGTATCGACTGCCCAAACCTTCTGATACCTGTTAATAATAAATATAATCAACGACGAATGTTAACCCCCAATCCCTAATCCAGATTAATCCTCACTGTGCAGACGGAGGTGGTGCAGGAATCAAGCATCTTTTTTTGTACTGAAAAGTAAAAAAAAATAAACAAATAAAATGTTTTCTGGTTTTAAATTTGTGTGAAAACCAGAACCGGGAGTAAGGCCAGTCCAGTACTGAATCACTGTGGATCCTCCGGAGAGGCCGGACACATCGTAGCAGAAACGTCTTTCTTGCTGAATAAATCTCTCCTGGAATATTTTTTTCTTTTGTTTGTTTTTAGGGACATTCTGGAACTGCTCACCTGGTCCAGACCTGGACCAGAGTCCTGGTTTTCAGTGTGGAGAAACCAGCTGAAAACAGTCTATCCTTGTCCTGCCATCCGTCTCTAGACCTGAAGTGTAACATTGCGTCTTTTTGTTTTAACTGTATGTCTTTATTT